ACTGAACTTCTTTGTACATCTGGTTTTTGGTTTGTTTACTCACCTGTGATCTCAAGCTAATATCCTCTATTCAGAGCTTTGGTTTGAATGTTAAGATGCATTACTCATAAATGTTAGTTTTCTTCTTATTTTGCATCCTTCCTCCCTATGAAATTGAGCCTTCTGATCTTTTTTTTTTTTTTTTAATTAAAAGCCTGTACCATTACACATATGAGATTTTTAAAAGATATTTTGGGGAGGAAAATGTTTCAACTAACAGATCAAAGGTATCTCCACATATATAATATCAATACAAAAAATATATCATTGTAAGTTTAGTATTTTTTTCTGTATTCTCACTTGTCATATTGTGCAGTCAAAGAAGGATGGATATGAAATGCCTTACCCCCAACTTTCCCTGCCTTCAAGTGGATTACCACTCATAGCAACTCTGTAAAGGGTTTCTGATTAGTGGATGTTGGGTTTGAATCACTGACCAGTGCTTACTCTACAGCATCACACCAGGATGCTGTACGACAGACTAAAAGTACACTGTAGGGTTTCTGAGTATGTAAGTCTTTACAGGAGCAGACAGCCTCATCTTGCTCCTGGAGAATGGCTGGTGAGCTTTAACTGTTAACATTTGGCTAACCCACCGCACCTGAACTTCCGGATAAAATAACTTAGATTTTTAAATGCACATTCCAATATCAAACTTAATTGTTTCTACTTATTTTCTATGCGAGGCCCATGAGTCATTAGCTAAGGTGGCTGGAGCATGGCACTAAAGAAGTGAAATTTATAGATAATTTAATTTATACTGAAAAAAATGTCATGTCTTACAATGAGAAGTACAGTGGATGCTGACCTTCAGCTCTTAAATGTGTGCTGGTTGGACCCAAAAAGGATCAGGAAAGAGGGTAGAGGTTGGTCAGGATATGTCTAGACTTACTGCTGTATTCATAAATTAGTATAAACATACTTAAGGTTATAGTTGTTTTTATTAATAGCGACCGTGTATAGGGTTTACAAAGCTTAAAATCTTTTCAGGGCAGAAAGTTTTATCTTTCCCCCAAGGAATGACTGGTGGTTTTGAAATGCCAAATTTGTGGTTCCTAATTCATTGTTTGTCATAGGGAGTCACTGCACTCCCTATTTAAGGCTTAATGGTGAAAAATATGGGATGCTGAGAGGTTCACACATTCTAACACATGCTTGTTAACCATTTGATTGTTGTTGTTAAGTGCTGTCAATCAGTTCTGACTCGTAGCGACTTTGAATCTGGTTTCTGTGGCTGTAAATCTAGGCGGGAGTAGAAAAGTTTATTTTTCTCCTGTGGAGTGGCTCATGGGCTCGAACCACCAACCTTGTGGTTTGCAGTCCTGTGCTTATTTTATGGAGTCACTGTACTCCTCAACTATTTGATTACAAGTAGAAAGATATAAACTATCCAGTGATCATGAATTATATGCTACTCTGGTTTATAATAACCCTTTTCCTGCACAATTCTGTAATGGGGGAGATGGGCTTTTGTGTGGATTTTAGTGGTTACAAGTCGGGCTGCTAACCTTACGGTCAGCAGTTTGAAACTGCCAGGGGTTCCATGGGAGAAAGATGAGGCTTTTTGCTCCCGTAATGATTTACAGCCTCTGAAACCCTATGCAAGGTTGCTATGAGTCAGAATCGACTCCACGGCACATCACCACCACCACGTTCACTTTGCTTCATAACACCTGTCATTCCCCAGGGGAAGACAAATGTTCAACACGAACTGCTGCAGACACAGAAGTCAACTATCTTTCCTCCTCCATTTATGTGACTATATTATAATAAATGTTCTAAGAGATCTAAGATAATATTATTTTCTTAGCCTTTGAAAGATTCACCAACAAATATTCCAGCAAACAAGTATTCAGCTGCTAACCAAAAGTTCTAACCCACTGTGCATTCCTTAGGAGAAAGATGTGGCAATTCGCTTCCAAGAGTTCATACTTGGAAACCCTATGTGGTAGTTTTACTCTGTGCTACAGCGTCACTACTGGAGTCCTGGTCTGGTGCGGTGGGCTAATGGGCTGGACTGTTAAGGTTGGTTTCAACTGCAAGGTTGATATTTCAGGCTCACCAGCTACTTCTTGAAAGCCCTATGTGGGGTTGCTATGAGTTGGAACCAACTCAACAGCACTTAACAACAACAGGGTCACTATGAGTGGGAATTGACTTGACAGCAAGGGATTTGGGTTTTGGGGAACAGTTCTGGAATATGTCTGTTTCGCTGTTTCAAGTGTATTCTGGTTTAATTTTCAACATTTATGCAAAGGAATCATTATGTGTGCATCACTGTAACTTTTGTGCAATGCTATCACATCATACATCTTACATGCGCTTCAAATGTATAACTTTCTTGTCCTTTCTTTTTGCAACAATTTAATATAATTGGTGTTAGAAATGAGGAGTTACTGAAGATAACCAAAGACCCACAGAACAATTATGAAGTGGTTTCCACGTGACAAGAAACCCATCCAAAAATGAATTCACCTCCTGCCATGGAGAAAAAAGAAGGAAGTATGGAAGCCCAGGCCACTGAAAGGCACTCACTTGCTTGATTCCTCCAGTAGGTGACAAAAAGAACTAAGAACAAAGGTAACAGCTCAGAATTAAAACCCATGATCACTACTTTGTCATTCTGGGACCTGATATCTGTATTAATTTAAATGTATATGTTCAGAGAATACAAGCCAATTTTTCAAATATTTAAAGTTTGAGAGGTACTGAACAAGTTATGATACTGCATTTCTTTTGATAAATCTGAGTTGAATACAAAAGAATAATAATAGGAAAATAGCTAACTTAAGAATCAAGATCTGATGAAACAAAAATTAAAAACAACCATATACCTGCCACATTTTCCCTGATTTATTTACCTGTGATATTGGCACATCTTGTTCTACTTAACATTTGAAAACTACAAATAATTCTTATCTACCAACAAGTTAAAATTATGGAATCTTATACAACCTCCTAAATATGAAATGTTTGATTAAACTATACATAAATGCTTATGAATTTACAAATCAAATCCTTAACTACTACAAAAGATTGGTGTCCAGGTGTATCCTTAAGGGAAACAAGAATTGCATCTGCCTCTGCTACAATAAAAAAAGTGAAAGACAAATTTCACCTTGACTTCTTAAGAGAAATGTTACTTCAATAATCAATTACTAAATGTTTTTGTTAATCACAATCTTAATTTAAACTTCAGATTTGTAATTTTAAATATTTATAACGTTAGCAGTTATGTAGAATGTTTCTTGTGTACTTTTCTCATTGAAAATGACACAGTGCTGAAAACATAGATCTAACCAATGCCTCTGAATTCAAGAGTGACACAGATTTCCACACATTTTTACATAATGGTCAAAATGAGACACTGCTAACTTAAAATGGGCTTCCATATTTCAAGCTGCTTGCTATTATATTATCTACTATAGATACATTTCCAAATTATACTCATACAGCCTGTTGTTGTTGTTGTTAAGTGCCGTCGAGTCGGTTCCGACCCATAGCGACCCTGTACAGGGTTTCTGAGGGTGTAAATCCTTACGGGAGTAGAAAGCCTCATCTTTTTCCCGCGGAGCGGCTGGTAGTTTCGAACCGCTGACCTTAAGGTTCGCAGCCCGATTCGTAACCACTACGCTACCAGAGCTCCTACATGGCTAAAAAGCCTTGTTCAGTTATGTACATAGGCAACAAAAAGTACAATCAGTAGAGGGCAGAATTTTCAAGTGCGACCATCCCTGGAATGGGAGGCATTATCAGTGTTTGAGCAAAAGGTCTGTTTGTGGTTTCTGTTTTTTGCTTTTGCATTCTATGGAGGGGAGGGAGCTGACAGAGTTGGCAGGGATCATTAAAACTACATCCCATTGTTAATCAGCTTCCCTTAGATGGATTACTCAGAACAGTAACCTTCTGATCACCTTTATGTATTGGGAAAAATGAGAATCCAGCGTATTAGTATATGAGTAAACCAGGATTTCAGTTTAGTCTAGTTTGATTTTTTTCAGTAGGCCAGTGAGTCTGAATGGAAGTCTAATTAAAATGAACTTCATAGTTATTTCTTTTTGAATTCCAAAATAAATTTGTTGAAAATTGCTTGACACAGCTCGCTGCTAAGAGTCACTGAGACTTTTAGTATATTTACATATTAGAAAAGATTCCTGAAATTATTTGAGAGTTCTATTCGTTAACTCCAGGTATTAACGATGCCCCTCAAAGAAAGTCATGTGTATGAATTAATCAAGTCTGATAGTACTCAGAAATACTGGTTTAAAAAGGAGATTTTCCCCCTCCCCTTTTTCATTGTGAAATTTACATAAGCAAACACTTTTTATTTATAATAGTCAATTGCATTTTCTAATTAAGACCATCCTCATTTTCACTCAGGTTCTTATCTTTAAGATCCACACTGTAAAATACTCTGCAGATACATTTTTGGGTTCCCATGGATTTTTTTAAATAAAAAAATTGAAAATATTCTTCATAAACATATCTGTGTTTTATTCTCCAGATTGTGTGATGTATATGAAAATGTATGTCAGGGAAGGAGTCATTTTCCCTAAATTTGATTACATAATTTCATACCAAATGAACTGTGTAGAAAACCATTTTATGAATTTAAACATTCTTTCTAGCCTTTAAGCCAGTGGCTTAAGATTCAGATATCTCTATATATGACCAAGACTACCAGTCACTGGAAGACTTTAGCATTAATATTTTAACCATAACACTGAGTCAGGTATGGAAGTAAGCTCATTGCATTGATTTTTATATGCATAATCTCAACATTTATCTGCCCAAATAAATAAGTCTTAAATAATAAACATTTCAAATTTACTATTGAAGAACATTCCATGTTTGTAATTCCTCATTTCAAAAAAAAAAAAAAAATCAACTTTCAAATATTGTGAAAAATAAAATACTCCTAAGAAAAATAATCAGCACTGAAATCAGAAATGTGCCTCTTGTTAAATATTGGTTTCTCTTTCTGAGCTAGCACGCGGTGCTTTTGAACTTTTGACACTAACATGAGGCGTAGATCTGTTGAAGGGTTCAGATTCTGTAGACTGAAGTTTACTCTTCTTCTTCTTCACTGATTTCTTCAACTTTTTTTCCTTGTCGAGCAATCTATAATTTATAACATTGCCAATGAGCAACCACACACTTGCGAAGACCACAATCACTCCGCAAGCGATATACATGTATTTGTATTCTCCAGTATCATCCACCAATTTACCTAAGAGATAAAGAGCACAATAATAAAGAAAATGCTAAAAATTTTTGAATACATTATTTAACAAACACAATATATAACTATATATGATTTAAATTAAAATTAGATGACACTTTTAATACAGGAATTTTTTTTCTAGATTTTGATTTCTATATCTTCACAGCAAAGGCATATATAGAAGGTTACAGCATTCTATTATCAGTAGATTAGATTTAATAGAAATTAGTTCCTCCCGTTTATTAAAAAAAAGAAACATATTCAAGGTGTATTAGGCATACATGCATTTTCATTTATATCTGCAAACAAATATACGTGTGAGGTACATTGTTTTACATATGGAAAAGGCTATATACCCTTCTTTTATGCTCCTTCTGATGTTCAGTAAGAGAGGAAAATTCCATTCTCTAGGAAACATTCACAGGCTCGCATAAAGACCTGAGAATGGCTAATATTTACTATTTTATGTCCAACATTAGACTGAGCACTTTATTTGCAATATCTTATTATACCTTACGGAGTCCTGGTGTGGTGCTGTGGGTTAATGCACTGGACTGCAAAGTCACTTTGACCACAAGGTAGGTGGTTCAAGCTCACCAGCCTCTCCTTAGAAATCCTATGCAGGACTGCTATGGGTCGGAACCAACTTGATGGCACTCAATAACAAAAATATTATATCTTACAATAGTATTATGAGTCCATTTGACCATGGATATATAGCCAGTGAGTGGCAGAATGTAGACTGTAAACAACATCTATCTGAAACTTACATTCCTAGCAATTCTGCAAAGTGCCTTCACCCAATCTTTTGCAGCTTAAGCTATAAAAAAAGAAAATTAAAATAAAAAATAACAATCACACATTCCCTATCTTTCATTGCTATACTAGTGGAAATAGTAGCTGAAGCAGCAGTTGTGTAACAATTAACAGCAACTATCTTTATACAGAAGGAGCTCTGGTAGTGTAGTGGTTATGAGTCGGGCTGCCAACGGCAAGGTCAGCAGTTCGAAACTACCAGTGGTTCCGCGGGAGCAAGATGAGGCGTTCTGCTCCCATAAAGATTTACAGCCTCGGAAACCTTGTGCAGGGACACTATGAGTCAGAACCGACTCCACGGTACTTAACAACAACATCTCTATACCGCGAAGGAGCTCTGGTAGTGTAGTGGTTACGAGTCGAGCTGTCAACTACAAGATCAACAGTTCAAAACTACCAGCTGCTCCGCGGGAGAAAGATGAGGCTTTCTGCTCCCGTAAAGATTTACAGCCTCGGAAACCCTGTTCAGGGTCGCTATGAGTCGGAACCAACTCGATGGCACTTAATAACAACAACAACAACAACAACAACAGCATCTCTATACAGGTGTCCTGGTGTGGTGCTGTGGGTTAATGCGCCAAACTGCATAGCCATTTGAACTGCAAGGTTGGCTGTTCAGGCTCACCAGCTGCTTCTCGGAAACCCTATGGGTCAGTACGACTCGAGGGCCCTTAACAACAACATCTCTACACAGGGTCGCTATGGCTCAGAACTGACTCAACGGCACTTAACAACAACAACAATAACATATCCATTAATTGGAGTCCTGGTGTGGCGCTGTGGGTTAATGCGCTAGACTGCAAAATCGTTTGAACTGCAAGGTTGGGGGTTCAAGCTCACCAGTTGCTCCTCAGAAACCCCATACAGGTCAGAACTGACTCGATAGCACTTAACAACAACATAGCCATTAAATTCCCAGACAGTCTGTGGCTACTGTATCCCAGACACTGTTTTAGCATTAATCAAATGCTACAGAGAAAAAGCTACAGAAATAGGGTAGAAATGGATACATCATGTTTACAGTCTGACGGTGTCAACAATGAGGCACGGAAAAACTGTAAAACTGTTGACATTGCTAATAGCAGGATGAAACTTCAGCCATATTAAACATAATGAGCAATAAAGACTACCTAGCTACTAAAATCTGGTAGCGTAGAGGTTACGAATCAGGCTGCGAACCTTAAGGCCAACAGTTCGAAACTACCAGCGGCTCCGCGGGAGAAAGATGAGGCGTTCTGCTCCCGTAAAGATT